AAGATGCCCCGCCGCCACCAACTCCTCTAAGTGTTGTTTGAGCGGCAAGCAGTCCTTTGTTCGGTGCCCCCGTTCTTCATGAAAGGTGCAGCGATATTTTGAATTGAAGCCCCTCTGCGCGCTCCCCAACTTGGCCGGCCAACGGATGAAGGGTTCACCTCGAATCTCGCTCAAAATGCGGTAGATAGGGATTTAAATACCGTGGTGATTCCAGTCCATGCCTTTAATTTTCTTTTGGCATCCTCCGCTGCATCACAGGGAGTGTCAGCCCAGTCGTTTCGACGACCCTTGTTTCTGTCATCACGGTTTGAACCATGGTGCTGATCTTTTGACCGGTTTCTTGGGCGGTTATCCTCCTGCCCAACCGAGTGAACTTTCCCCGCCATCTTTCTGTTCGCCGCGACCGGATTAGCCTTCTCGGTCGCAGAGGCGGCATCATCCTCCATACGAATGTGCTCATTGATCCGCTGCATCAATGACTCCATGGTTGTGGGTTGATGCATCGTGAGTGAATCGCGCAGCCTATGTCCGACTGGGAGACCCCGTTTGTATTGAGTGATTGCCAGATTAGTGGGGCAGTCGAGGACCTCATTGTAAGTTTCCCAGTATTTCGCATTGTATGCCTTCAACGAACATCCAGACTCCATCTTGACGCCTAGGAGATGGTAGACCTCCTTCGGCGTTCGTGTGTTGGTTTTGAACCTGGTGACGAAGGCTTCCGCTAGTTGCTACCACCCCTCAATACTCCCCTTCGGGAGCCTTTCGAACCATTTCAAACCCAGCTCTCCCAAGCTTGCTGGGAATATGAGGCACATCAAGGCGTCATTGCGCCGGTGTCCAGCCATTACTTGCCGGTAATGGCTCACATGCATATACGAATCCGTCTTGCCGTCGTACAAAATGAACTTTGGCTGGTGGAATCCGGCGGGGAGTGGCGTACTCTCAATCCTGGAGACAGTGGCGTGGCTGTAAGTCGCGCCAGCTCTTTGTCCACCAGCGCAGGGGCCATCACATTGGGGGCTGGCATCGCCACTTCCTCACTATAACGAACTAGAGCGCTCAACCTCTGCAATGCCGGCACTCTCCGGGCCTCCTGACGGCGCGCCCTCTCCTCCAATACATTCCTCAAGTCCCTGGAACGTGTGGAGAAAGAGGATCCCGACGTCGGCGTCGGGCGTGAGGGGCGGTAGGTGCTGTCGCGAGAGAGAGTCCTGCCCTCTCTTTGGTCAGAATCTCCAACCCCATAGTTCCTGGTGATGGAGAGAGAGTGAGTCCTCCCCTGGCGGCGACTGCTACTACGAGGGGACGGGGTGCGCTCATTGAGGTTGCCCTCTCCAACAACACCCTTCCCTTTAATTTGGCGTTTCAGCAGCTCTATCTCCGCCGCCATCTTGCGAATGAGGGCATCTTGGTCCTTGAGTTTGTGCTCCAGGCGTTGCGCATGGGACTCCCCTCGGCGTCGGCGGCTCTCCGGACTCTGCGAGCGATCAGTACTCCTCCCGCGTTTGTCTCGCGCATCTCGCGAAGGAGTCTCTAGGCCTGCCATGGCTGCAATATTCGGAGGACCTTCTCTTAAGTGGACGTACTCAGGTGTGACGCCATCGACGACGGACAGTGGGGCTTCGCCGTTGTTGGCCATGGAAATGGTTGAAGAAGCTAAAAGAACAAGGGTTGAGTATCAAAGACTTCCCACAGACAGCGCCAATTGTACGGGGGCAAAATATCCTCTGCTTTCCGTACTCCTTGTACTCTAAGCTTCTCTTGATGGCGTCTACCTGGCAACACAGAAACGGTGAGCTGCCCGACGATGGTGTGCCGGATAGACCCTCCGACGATCAAGTCAGTTCACTTGAGGAAGAAGAAGACTGATAGAGAGGGAGTAATCTCTTTGGGGAAGAAGTTCCATACCTCTAACGTTCGCCCTCCTCCATATTTCAAGGCTGGCCATGCAGCCTCAAGATTATGCGCGCACTACCTCTGCTGTCCTTCTCTGGACAGGTGGCAGTGCTCGCCTCTCACCACCTTACGCGTGTAAAGGCTTAGTCCTCCCACCAGTACACACAGAACTGTCCAACGGTATTGGCGCATGCTTGGAGCAGGTTTCCTCTATCCCTCACGCCATTGGCCCAGGTGGCACGCTTGACCAGAATACCACGACCGGCCTATCACTTGTGGAGAGTTGCCATCACATGGACTCAACCGAGCTATGCACCGCCGGACTGTCCCTTGCGAAGGAGCCAAAGGGCGATACTCATGGCCGAGCTAATATTGACAGGTCCATTAGGCTAATCCGGTTGTGAGGTATGCCGGCCTCCACCCGTCCTACCTTTATTCTCGGTCACACGAAGAGCACTTATCTCGGCTGGTCGGTCAGAAGCACGCCGGCCCTAACCGCGTCCATAGTCTAGCCCGGGTTGCTCTTAGCTTGGTCATCAAACACTGCTGCGCGCTCGGCCGCGTTATAGCTCGGCCAGGCATTGGTTCGTGTCTGGCCGCTCGACCTTTCCGGCCGCGCAAGTCAGGCTGCTGGGCCGAGCAAGAGAGGAATCTGCTCGGCGACGTGCGATTCGTCACGATCGGCGTTATCGTAGCTCGGCCGTACTAACGCGCAAATCTCCTCTCTCAATATTCATTTTTTAAATAAAACAAAAAACAAGAAACACAATATTGTGTCACATTATTAGTGGTGATACTAATTAGGCTTTCACTTTTTTTCGTAAACAAATTAAAAAAAATTCTGAAATTGTTTTTTTTTAAATTTTTTAAAAAATCTATTTCTCAAAATTAAACCAAGCACATTCAAAATATTTCGTTTAATTTATAATAATAATAATAATAATTATTATTTATAATTATTATATTAATTAAAAGAATTTAATTAATTTTTCAAACATAATTATTTAAATATATTAAAATAGTTAGAAAGTTAAAAACAGGACCTGACTTAGACTGTCACAGCAGTGATCACAGCCCGTGGGTTTGTCGAGTATAATTATTTTGAGTATAATTATTTATATTAAAAATTAAGTTAAATAAAAATTTGTAATCTTATGATCGGATTTAAATTACTGTTTATTTTTTTATAAAATAAATGTGTTGTTATAAATTTACAGATTTTCAATCAATTTAATATTTTTTATAGATAATTTATTTAATAAATTTTTTAATACGAACAGTTTATATTATTAAAAAGATTTGAAAAAATTATTAAAAAACCCCATGGGCTCACAATAAATGTCACAGCAGCACCCCGGTTCCGAAAAAACAAGGCCTTTAGGCCCTGTTTGTTTTAAGCTATAGGGAGGGTATTGGGACTAGTAATACTATGGTATTACTAATGCTCTTGTTTGTTTGCAGAGATAACCTTGGGACTATTAGTCCCTTGGTATTACTAATACCCTTGGAAGGGGGATTGGTAAGGAAGAGGTAGAGATGGTATTAGGAAATAGTGAGGAGATTAGAAATTTTTTTATTTTTTATATATTGGGAATTTTTAAAGAGAATTCATAGTGAGGAGATTGTTAGTAAGAGATTTAAGTAAAATTGTGTTTATTTTAATGATAGCTGTTAGTGTAAGAATTGTTAAATTATTTTTATACAAAATAATAAAACAAACAAAAAAATATAAAAAATTAAACATTAATATTTAAAAAAAAATTCCCAATATAAAAAAAATAAAAAAAATTCTAATCCCCTTACTATTTTTTTAATAGCATCTCCATCTCAATTCTCCTTTCAACCTCCATCTTTATCACCTCCTCCATCCTAATTTCCTCCCAAACTCTACAAACAAACACAACACTAAATAATTCCACTTCCATCCTAATCTCCTCCCATCTATTTAACCCCAAAACAAACTGGCCTTACTTATCACTACAAAGCTGCATTGGGCTTCATCGCCAATATTTGCTCTGTGTCTCCGTCTGTGTATCTGTTGCATGTATTACCTGGGAGGGAGGAAGCATTTTCGAGGTTGAATTGCTTACTATGGGAATTTCAATTCATCTTTGATGAACTACTCACCCAATCTTTTCAACAATAAAAATTTGATAAAAAGACTGAAATAATGCATATTAAACTAGCCGGGAAAAAAAGAAAAAAAGAAAAGAAAAGAAAAGAAAAGGAGATTTGTGTGATCGTAGTTCAGTCCAACAATCGGAGTAATCCCACAAAATATCAATTGACACTGCAAAAGGGCCAAAATATAACTCCAAGGCTCAAAACATGATCATTGCAGTGCAGGGTCCAGCAGAATAATATTTCAGAGTATTTTAGATCTGCAGTTTGCACGGGGATTTGACCATCGGGTGCACCATCCTTAACCTCTTTTACATTATAAGGAGTATCTTCAACGGGATAAAAGAGACAACGGGAAAAGCAGCTACAGAGAGATACCAGGCAAAAGAAAGAGTGACGCACATGCTTCACAGAATGAACACACTAAACTTGGAATGAGGTGCGAAGGTGATGGTTTAGGGACTATATCAAAACCTATTCATCAAAACCAACATACAAATTACATGAACTTAGAGGGAAGAAGGGAGAGAGAGAATCATATAGTCTAGCAACAACCTTTGTCCTCTATCAATTGATAGATGCTCTTTTTGGGGGGTAAGTAGACAATGTCTATCTTCCCTCCACAGAAGAAGAAGAGGCAAATGGAGGAATAGCGAAACCAGAATCACTTCAATTATTAAAAATAAAACGAGGGAATAATGGCACCGTTTGGGAAGGTGGGTTGGAGGTTTTTTTGGCTATTTTAGCCACAAAAAACAAAATAGACTATTTTAGCCATAACAAACAAAACATCACATCCAACCCATAATCATTACATTCTTCTCTCACAAAAAAACTCAAAAAAGCCAAAAAGCCAAAAAGCCCTTCCCAAACCAAGCTTTTAAACCCAGGCTAAAATAGCCAAAAAAGTCAAAAAGCCAAAAAGCCAACCCACTTCCCAAACGGAGGCAATGTAGAAAACAAAAAGTGTTTTTTTTTGGGGGGGGGGGGTACAAAGGTGGCCCCTAAGCCAAGAAACGGAAAAAAGCAACAGTTTCTTTTAGTACAAACACCACTTTCTCATTAAGCCTTGCACTCATATTCAAGCTAAGAACATAAGAATCCTAAGCTTCACAACAAAAATCCAAGAAGAGTTTCTTTTGGTACAAACAACAATTTATCACAATCAAGCAAAGAACATAACAATACCAAGCTTCATTACAAAATCCAAGATGTCCTCAGTGATTTTGCATTTCCTTCTCCAAACTTTGCTATGCAAATCAGCACTTTTTTGCCTTCAATTTGTTTGCATTGCTTCAGTGTGATACTTCTCCAAATCAGCATCAAGATCTTCTGCTGATATCTTTTCACCACGACCTCTACCCTGTCCACGATCGCGATCCCTTCTAAACCCTCGGCCACCACCTCGAGGTTGTCCAATGGAACCACCTCGTCCTTGATTGCTGTCTCATTGGATAATAGTAGATGGCAAATACACATTAATCACTAATCTACAAACAAAATCTTATTAGAAGTGAAGCTAAATGAATACGAAATAAGAAATTTTCAACCACAATGCATACAATTCCAAAGAATCTAAGCAGTAATACTAAATTTGAGTTTGAGACTGAAACACACACATACATCAACAATCTTTCATCAAAAAGAGTCTTAAGGATTCTCATAAAACAATATACCTTAAGGGCATGTTTGATTGGGAGAATTATAGCATAAAATTGAGATTATTAATCCAGAGAACTCACATTCTAGTCTTTGGTTGTAATTTTTGTTATTCAGATTAGATTCCAATGGACATTTTATCCGAAAAAATTAACGAATTTTTTAATCCTACAACTAACTTTGCAAAACAAACATATAATTGGGATTATATATTTTCATATTTATTGCAAAACAATCATGTACAAGAGGGGATTATTTATTCTATTAATTCAGCTGGATAACCAATCCTACACTAATCCATGAATTGTAAATCCCCTCACTATTAATCTTGCTAATCAAATAGGGCCTAAATTTATAATCTATATGGACTATTTATCTCCAAATTATGTGATTCTCACTCAGATACGTTCCACAAATACATCACGCACATGCATCAAATGGTTACCTCAGATGTAAAGGGTCATTACAACATATTACAAGCTATATACATATTAGCTGTAACAGAAAGGCACATGTTGGTTGATGTTGAGCAACATATTGTGAGAAAAAAAAATGAAGTATTGTAACACAAAATTACTCCTATTCGATAAAAGGATGTCTCTTATCTATTCTTCGGTATGGGAAAAACTTCATGCTACAAGAAAGAAAAACAGACCCCCACCCAAACTTGGAATAGATACAATTAGACAAAATATATAATTATTAAAATGTGAACAAAAAGTTCTACCTGTTATACTATATTCAAAATGTGTATATATGTATATGTATATATAACATGAATTGGCTTGATACGCCAAGCAATCAAAACATGCAGCAATCAAATTTGAGGGGTAACAACGAGGGGAAGGGGGAGGTGGGAGAAGTCATGGTAGAATTGATGAGCAAACCTTCTGGGAGCACGATTTTGATTTCCATACATGACATTTGTAGATGGAGGTGGAAGTAGAGGTGGAAGTAGAGATGGAGCAGCAGGAGTAGCAATATTTGTTCCTACAATCTCGACTTTCATGGGCTTTCCATCCAATTGAACATTGTTGTATCTTTTGACAGCTGCCTCGGCATCTTTCCGTCGTGAGAAGACTACTTCTGCCGTTCCCTAATAGAAATAATCTTTTCTTAATGATGCAGGGCACAAACAATTCCTGGAAGGACCATAGTATTCCAAACTTGATGGGGTACCTTTGATCTTCCACTTCTATCATAATGAATTGAATATCGCTTTAGGTCCCCAACCTCTGAGAAGAGCTCCTGTAAATAAATAAACTCATTAAACCACAAAATAAAGCTTTACAGTTTCAAGCTCTTCTTATTAGATACAAAGTTCCATGTGGGCAATAGTGATAGAGACGCAACAGTCAGTTTAACAAACACTAGGACTGTTACTAAGGCTAAGAAAGCTTGAAGCCCGCCTGTTTGTGGGGATCAGCTTTGTTTTGAGTTTGAAGTCTTTGGACTATATCAAGCTTGGTCAAAAAATTAAGTTTGAATTCAATTTCAGGCTAAGCTTCAGCTAAGCCTAACTCAACTAGAGTCCATTGGATACAATGGGTTGAACTTAGGCCAAGGAAATTAAGCCATATTCAGGTTATCCAGAGCTTCACCTGGAATAATTGAAAACCTCACTCACACAAAATATATATATATATATATAATTTATACAAAGTTCAATTAAAAAGCCTCACACACAAACAAAAATAATACAAAGTCAATCAACAGCTCAATACAAACCAAAGGGAAAAAATAAAAAATAAAACAAAACCATTTGGTTATGACTAGGGGAAAAAAAATCAATATAATAATATGCATTTTGATGTAATTAAGAAGCCCAAGAACCAGTAAATCTGTAAAAGTGAAAGAAAATGAAATTGGATGATTTCAAGTTAGGACCTACTTTTAGCTCTTGGAATCAGATTCTAGCTCTGAGTTAAGTCTTAGGTTGATCAAGTTAGACCTTTTTATTGTCAATTGTCATGGTTGTGAATCAAGGGAATTGTGGTATTTTTTTTGAGTTCACTGAACATTGGTTGCAGTGGTTGTCTATGGATCTTAGTGTAGGTAAAGTTATGTTCTTCAGTCTTACCATATGGTTTTTTAGTGGAGTTAACTAACAAGTCGTTCAAACGTTTCATATATAATTATACAATGTTTTCACTAGCTTTGAAACTCTCTTTGAGATTGTGTGAATTCTTTGGGTTTGACATCTGACGAATTGTAAGAGTGATTCTCAAATTCTTCTTATGTTTCTTCTCCTTAGTTGAGGTACTTCATTAATACAAATCAAGCAAACTAAGCCTTGTATTCCAATCAAATGGAATTAGCTACATAAATCATTTTCCACCATTCCACATTGTCAACCTCTTTCTACCCTAAAAAGTCCTCTTTTTTTTTTTTTTTTTTTTTTTTGGGATAAGTATAATTATTAGAAGAGGCGATAAAGAGAGAAAAACCCTATACACTTGGAGAACAAAAAACCCTGTAACCTATGCATCTATCAAAATGTACAAATCCCTGAAAAAATTCACACAATAAAAACGAGAGAAGGGACAAGCCATTCTTACATATAATCAACACCCTAATCAATTCATAGAATCCTCCCACCCTCTTAAATCAGAGTTCAGTTCAAGTTTATCACCTAGTTTTCTGAAAGTGATGAAACTTGAGCCCATTGTAAGCAAGTAAACCTTACACATTAAAATCCTTTTTTTCTCTGTAACTTTGCGAATAATTATTCATTTGAATTATTATGTGCAATTATGTATGTATATATACTCCCAAATATCTCCCACTTTCAACCCAATCTATAAAAAAAATTTAATTCTGGTTGAATGTGAAATATTTATAGGGCTATATACACATCCGATCCAACCTCAAGGCGAGGTTGTTGCCTAAGGCCTCACTTTTTTAAAAGACCTCCGATTTGTAAGCTACTTGTTTAGATGGCCAGCTAAAAACCAAACAAAAAAATCCTTGCTCAATACCTAATAAAAAAATGTGTCAAAAAAAAAAAATCCAATGGACCTAAAAGGCTTAAAAAAACCTTCCATTCCAACAGAAAAACAAAATTTCCTCATTAAAAGATCCAAATAATAAAAAAAATCTCCTTTTTTCAAAAGGCCTCCTACACCTAATAGTAAAGACTGTAAATAATACACAAATTTTAGGCCCTGTTTGTTTTCCTCTCTTACCAAGGTTCTGAAAAGCGGTTGCAGTCGTCGTAATGGTGGCGGTGGCGCAATTGCGGTTGCGGGTTGTAAAGGCCGTAACATAATGGTTGCGGTAACCGGAACCGTGAATTTTTTTTTATTTTTTGCACAATTTGAAAAAAACTTACCGATGCGCATATTTTTTTTCCATAATCATATTTATTGAGTTTTAAAATAAATATTGATCAATTTTTATAAATTTTTAAATATCATCCAATATATTTCATATTTTTAAATCACTATAAATTGAATTTTTTACATTTTAGTTTAATAATTAATGATTTTATATGTCATAAATCCTTATTACATTTGTGACAAAAAAAAAAATTATTAGAATTAGACGTATAAAATTATTTTTTTAATTATTATACTTGTGGAAGCATATGCAAATTTTAACTTGAATAGTTTTTAAAAAATAAATTAGACATGCTAATGCAATCATATAAAAATTATAAAGATTTTTTTTTTTTTTTTTTTTTTTTTTTTTTTTTTTTTTTACCTTTTCATTCTCTTTTTGGATAACCTATAAATGAAAATAAAATAAACTAATCAAAACAAATTGACATGTATAAAATATGTATTAATATATAATTATAGGTGTTATGTGTTCTAGATATTTTACAAAAAAATCAATCACTAACTATTATATATAAGATAAACAATGACAAAAGTAAGAGAATAAATAAGAGCCTAAAAATATATATATCTATATATATATTTTAATCAAACCAAATAGATAATGACCACACTTTATTATTATTTTTAAACAATATATAGATAGACACACAAACAAAATGGTTGAGTGATAGCAGTTGAACAGAATAGTATAGGTTTTACAGCTTTAACAAATCAATAAAATGTTCATCTTCCCTCTTCTCTCTCTATCTCTTGCTCCTACATCTTCCCTCCTCATTTTCCCTCTTCTCTCTCTATCCCTCTTTCTCCATTTTCAGCTCTTTTCTTTTTGTGTTTTTTCGAAAGAAACAGTTTGGAACTATTATGTAACGGTGCGTAACAGGCCGTTACGGCCGTTACGACTGCTACAGCAGCCGCTGCGGCCGACACACCTATTAATTTCAATCACACTGCAAAAACGGCCGTAACGGGTAGCGGTAACCACCAAAACAGTTACGTAACGACGTTACGTAACGGTTGCAGCCGCTTTTTAAAACCTTGTCTCTCACAGTCCGGAGTGGACTATGAATGATGAATAATGAACATACCTCCTGTTTGTTTGCAGATTTGGGGAATGGATTCATAAGTCGGAGGGCTTTAGATGGGCCTTGGATACTAGGATTGTTAGTTTGTCCCAACACTTGGTATTGAAAATTAGTTCGTTAGTGTTAGGGGAGTGATTTACTTGTTTACCCTCTTCTCTTCTCTCTCTCTCTCTCTCTCTGTCTGTGTGTTCTCTTACCATATATATGCATATTTCATTTAGTTTTCTCACCAACCAAACAAAAATGTAGACAAATTGCAAATTCGATCAGTACAATTGAAGAGTGATACTCCGATCTTCGACTAAATCAGACAAAAGAGATACAAATCAAAAGCTATGCACGATATACATATACATACATACATACATATATATATATGTGCAGATAATATATATATACCTATGATCTCCTCAGTGGAGGGATTGATAGCTTCACCGACTTCATCGAGGTTCGCCATTGACTCTCTCTCTCTCTCTCTCTCTCTCTCTCGCCATTGGGTGAAGTCACAGAGTGAAAGGCAACATTGTATTTTTTCAAAATCATGGGCTAGTTTTGGAAAAACCAAAATGATTTCTTTAATAATAATAATAATAAAAAAAGATTAATAGTTAAATTTTTTATTATATGATTTCAATTTTAATTTTTGAATAGTTTAATTGGGTAATGCATTTATTAGTTGGTATAAGCTTAAATTTTATACCAATACAATAAGGATATTTGTGTAATTTTACATGGTTAATTCTAGTCCTATCTCTCAAAACAAACATGAACTATTACTAGTTTATTGGTTATCAAACAAACACATTTTTCTTAATCCTCTCACTATCAATCCTCTCTATTTTACTTCTGAAAACAAACGGGACCCTAATTAATTGAGGAGTACCATTAATTTCAACTCTACTATTTCTTTCATTGACTTTTAAAAGAAATCAACTAATTGAGGAGTACCATAACCATCTTTTTTATTCTTTTTGTTTGTGTTTGGATATGTAAGATGTTAGAAAAGTATAATAAACTAGAATAAAATATCATTGATGATGGCAAAAGTTGAACAGCATTGGTTCCATCTTTGTTTTTCTTTCGGTCTTTCACTTTTCTAGAAGACAACTTGCAAAAAAGTTATCAAGTTTATGTCTCTGCATCTTTAGATGTATTAGTGTGTTAACTTCTATTTTAAAACAAACTTAGCATTAAAAATTACATTCCTATCTCACAAGATATTAAAGAACATATCTACAATTCCTTAACACATTTAAGACATGACATTCAAATAAGTTTGGATGCATCTTCCTTTAGAATCATTTTGCATAAACATAGACTGCTGAAATTCTTCTTCTTCTATTTTTTTTTTTTTTTTTTGTTGATAACTGGGTGTCCGGGCCAACTTATGCTCACATCGACTAATCCTAAGGCCCTGAAGTTAACAACTGGATCAACCTCCAGTGGAACTCGAACTTGAGGACTTAGAACTTATCTTCAAGTTTTTACTACTCGGCCAACCCCTTGGGGTTGAAATTCTTCTTTTATTTACCTCATTCTCAAATCTAACTATGAAGCAAGCAAGTTTTGGAGTATATTTCAGGCAACAGTGAGACCAAAACACATACTGAAACCAAAATTCACAAAAACATGTAAGAGTTGGGGAAAAAAATATTACCTTGATGTCTTCAATGGAGACTCCATAATCCAAGTTAGAGATGAGTAGTTTCGTGCCGGTCTCGATTGCGGACACTCGACCAACCTGCGCTGTGTACGCCACCGCCGCCGCGTGGTCTGCGAACATGTCATGCTGCCAATTCGTCTCCGGCGCTTGAACCTGATATTTCACATTCACAGATCTAATCCTCTCTCTCTACCCCTCTCTCTCTCTCTATATATATATATACACATACATATAGTTGATGAAAAAGGTTGAATTGAGACTGTTTGAGCTCACCTTTCCGAATGAGTATGGAGTGGAGCGATTTGAGGTACGATTGGGGAGTCGACGAGAGGGACCAGGGCCTGAGTTACGAGCTCTGCCGCCTCTAGGGTTAGATCCTCCACCTCCAGCTCCTGCTGCTGCTCCAGATTTCTTGTTCATCTTTATCAAATCGTCAAGCGACTTGTCTAAGTTCGACATCTTTGAGAAGCTACTACAGGGCTGTTGAAAGATACCCAAGGTAGATTTGGATTTTCACAATTAGGGTTTTAGAGAGAGATTTTTTTGGACGAGAAGAGAGAGAAAATATGGGAACAATAACTGAAATGGATAAGAAGTCAAGATTATGTATAATATATATAATTATTTAAATAAATTGAATCATAAGAGGTGTCGTGGTGTAGTTGGTTATCACGTCAGTCTAACACACTGAAGGTCTCCGGTTCGAACCCGGGCGACGCCAACTCAAGCCAAAAGCAAAATTGGTTTTGTTTTCTCTCAATTTTTATTTCTTTATTTATTTTTATATCAATGAGACATTCTTCTTGAAATGTGAGAATTGAATATTTGTGTACTACCATGTAATTAAACTTTTGTCATATGTGCTATTTTTAAAATATGATGATGTGATATCATTGTAATATGTGTATTATTATTTTATTATATTTCTAAATATGAGTATGCTTTATTTGGAAGTTTTATTATATTTTTAAATGTGGGTAAATTTCATTTAGAATATTTTAATGTGAGATAGGATTTATGGGAATAAACTATCTATAAGCCATCACTATAGGAATTATTAGTAAATGTCTCTTTAAAAAATTCATTAAAGCCTTATAAAAATCTGTCTGGTTGAGTTTTCAAATATATTTTTTGTTTGTAAAAATTAATTTGATGAAAATAAATTAATTTTTTTTCAATTTTTAAAAACTTAGATTTTCAAGAAAAAAAAATCATAATAAAATAATGTGTGTTTATGTTTTTTTTTTCTTCTTTTTATTTTTTATTTTTTACCCAAACTAATTTTAATTTTTTTTTAATAAAAAAATTTATGAAAATTAAACCAAACAGTATCAAAGATGTTGTCAAATGAGGCGTAATTCCAACCCTTAGAGATTTGGTCATTGACAACAACTTCAATGTTTAATCAAAATTTGATAAGAATTCTTCCAAATTCATATTTGGCAATGTACTCTCTTACACTTCAAAATATAGTTGTGGGGACATATTTTGAGAGTGACAGCACGTGGCTAAGGCGATGCCGAAGTATCAGCCGAGGTGCCACATGGCCTGGTCACGTTGCTGAGATAATCTCAGCTAGGCCGAGGTCATCTGCAGAGATACTGGAATTCGAGATAAGTAGATAAGGGACAAGAGTCCCAGAACGGGGGGAGGATCTTAGCCTAGATAGAGATAAGGCTCAAGAAGAGTTTACCTCTATCTAGATGAGAGTCCAGGATAAGCATGGAGTCAGAGTCCATTAAAGTAAGACTTTTAAGGGGATTAGGTCATGACTGGATATAAAAGCAAGGTACCATCGTGGGTCTGAGGTAAGTTCTTTTCTAGTGAGTTTTGAGTACTCTTTACTATCTTTAAGAGATATTGATTATTGACTTGATCGTTAGAGTGTCCCTAGGTGGACGAACCACCACCGGATTCTCATCTTCTTGTGCAGGTTGTTGGGCTTAATTTATTCTGCCGATGCTCTCCACCTGAGTTCCCCGTTTAGTTGTGTGGTTGGAAAACAACACCCACAATTTGGCGCCGTCTGTAAGAACTTAAGGAGAATAGATGGCCAACAATGGGTAGGGAGAAAAGATCGAGGACGACGTCCTAGGGGGAGTGGTAAACATGTCGATCCTAACATCGAGGAAGAAAACCATAATGAATGAGAACAAGATCAGAATCCTGGGAAGAAGGGCGTCGGCAAAGATGGAGACACCCCAAAGAAAGCAGGCCGAGATGAGTATTACAACGAGAGCGACCTCTAGATATTGAAGGATAGTTGCTTGAGGAGGGACGGCGAGATGAAGGGGATGACAAATAAGTTGGCAGACCTACAATCAGTTGTCAACTTCATGATGCAAAACAACGTGGTGCAATCACCGTAATCGTTGCAGGGCACCCCGATACCAGCGACCAAGATCAACGTCCAGAAAGGAGAGCAAAAAGCAGTCCCAGTAGTCCATCAGTATAACAAGGAGAAGAAACGTTCACATCGGCCTTCACGGGATGTCGAACGAGCAGAGTTTGTGAGAGGTAAGTCTCAGAGGAATCCTTATACCAAGGGAACCAAAGAACATTGGCATATCCACGGGAAATGACTTTGCTTTGATACAGTGAATAAAGAAAAATCCAAGAGGACGCACCACGACGCCGGGAGCAACGCGCCAAAAAGGCTAAAATCTGTTAATAGCCGAGCTCTTGGACGAACGAATGAGGATTTGAGGGACTACCTCCAGAGGAAGCGACAAAACGCCGAGGTCACATCCCCCGTCAAGCTGAGAACACCGTTTTCAATGGAGTTAGATAGCTTTGAGGCCCCAAAGAGGTTCCATATGCCGAGGTTTTAGATTTATAACGGTAAGTTCGATTCGAACTTTCATGTCGGCTTATGTTTGAATTCAATGGCTTTGTATACTGGGAACTAGCAGTTGTTGTGCAAGGTGTTCCGCTCATTCTTTGGGAAAATTATATCGGATTGGTTCCACAAGTTGCGGAAAGGAACTGTGAAAAGTTAGGAAGGCCTGACCAAGATGTTTGTGGCCAGGTTTGTTACGAACAAGTTGCAGCCATTAAGGGTAGACTCCCTGATGGCTCTGAAAATTGGCGATGGTGAAAGCCTCAGGACATATGCCAAAAGGTATTATAAGGTGTTCAACCGAGTACCGGGATGCAACCAAGAGCTGGCGGTCGTGTCTTTTAAGAATGGCCTGGAGAATGAATGCCTCCTCTGGAAGTCACTGGCGAAGACTCTACCAAAAAATATGGGGGAACTTATGGCTCAGATTGAAAAATACGCCAGAGCAGAAGAGGATATGCCGAGAACAAAGGTGCTGAAACAAGAGAAGAGAAACGGCTAGCCAAAGCGAGTTTGAGGTAACATTGGTTTTAACAGGCAGGAGACAGGGTTGAGGGCTGCGCAGACAGTCACCACTGTGTTCTGGATCCCGGTTTACAAAGTTCTAGAAAGAATCAAGAACCAGCCGTATTATAGAGTGTCGGAGAGAGAACCTGGTGAGTTTATGGGAAGGAGCTTTGGGAAGCACTGTGCCTACCATAATGAGGATGGACACTTGACTCAGGGGTGCAGGGCTCTGAAGACACACTTGGAGGATCTGGTCAGACATGGTCATCTGCGAGACCTAGCAGATGAGGCCAGAATAAGGAAAGAGTAGACAAGACTGCCCCAAGCACCGGTAGCTCCACCTCCACCACCACTACAACAACAAGCAGATGAACTTTGGGTGATCAATGTTATTCACTCAAAGGTTAATGAGAATGAGGTGTGTGAGGAGACTCAGAGAGTGAGGCACCTGCAGTATATGTATTACGTCCAGCAGAAGAAGTTTAGGACCAATGAGTACCAGGGACCAATGGTCTCTTTTATCGAGGCAGACCTGGATATGATGCAACATCCACATAATGATGCCTTGATGATAACGCTAAAGGTTGGGGGCTGCCAGGTAAGGCTCATACTGGTTGATCAAGGCAGTTCTTGTGACATCATGTATGTTAGATATTACAAAGAGCTTGGCCTTCACCCATATGATCTGGAACAATCCAACATCCCGATGGTTGGATTCAACGGAAAGCCGACGTGGCCTCTAGGAGCCATGAATTTGAAAGTGCAAACAGGCACGGAGAATGTAAGCATAGAGTTTACAGTAATTGACACCCCTTCCCCTTACGATGTTATCTTGGGAAGACCGTGATTGCACGCAATGGGGGCTGTTCCCTCAACATTGCACCAGTTGTTGCGGTTCCCAACGGAGCATGGAATTGAGGAGGTCAGAGGGGATTAGGTGCAGGCAAAAAATTGCTCTATAGCAGCAATGAAATCTACCTGCAACGTACAAGAGGCAAAAACAGTAAAAATTGAAGACGAGGACATGGAGGTCCTAGATGACGTCAGCAAAGAGCTGGCCGACAAGAGTGAGGAAGCCTTGAAGAAAATTCTGGTAAAAGAAGATGATGTAGAGCGTTTCTTCCTTTTCGACTCAGACTTAGCCGAGGAGGAGGAGAGGGAGTTGGAGGCTTTCTTGCCAGCAAAATAAAAGTGTTTGCTTGGACGCCATACGAGATACTTAGCATTGACCCCGAGGTCACTTGTCATAGGCTTAATGTAGATAGGTCGTCTAAACCTGTCATTCAGCGAGCAAGGAGGCCTATGTTGATTTATGTGGAGGCAATAGAAAAGGAAGTGGACGAGTTGTTGGAAGTCAAGGCTATTCGGGAGGTGAACTACCCAACCTGGCTGTCCAACACAGTAGTTGTGAAAAAGAAGAATGGGAAGTGGAGGGTCTGTGTGGACTTCACTAGCCTGAATAAGGGTTATCCTAAAGATAGCTTTCCTCTGCCTAATTGATCAACTAGTGGATGCTACTTCAGGGCATGGGAGAATGAGCTTCCTGGATGCTTACAGGGGATACCACTAGATAGAAATATACTCTCTTGACGAGGAGAAGACTGCATTCATCACCCCAAAAGGGCTGTACTGCTATAGAGTGATGTCTTTTGGGTTGAAAAATGCATACTAGAGGTTGGTGACCAAGATATTCAGACATCTGATTGGTAAGACAGTAGAAGTATACATTGATGACATGGCCGTGAAGACCAAAGAACATGAGAATCATTTGGCCGACTTGAAGATAGTTTTTGATATCTTGAGAACATATCGGCTCCAACTCAATGCTTCGAAATGTGCATTTGGAGTTGGGTTTGGTAAGTTCCTGGGATACTTGATTACCAGAAAGGGTGTTGAGGCAAGCCCAAATCAAATCAAGGCCATTCTTGACTTAAAGAGCTCGACGTCAGCCAAGTAGGTCTAGATTTTGACCAGCAAGGTGGCAGCCCTGAAAAGGTTTATCAGCTGAAGTTTTGATAGGAGTAAACCATTTTTTAGTTTGTTAAAAAAGGCCACAGATTTTTTGTGGACAGAAAAGTGTGAAGTCGCCTTGGCCGACTTGAAAAAGTACCTGACAACAGCTCCAGTTCTGTCAAATCCAGTACCTGGAGAAGAATTGTTCCTATACTTGGCAGTTTCAAAACACGCAGTAAGCGCGGTAGTAATCCAAGAAGAGGAAGGAGAAT